CTCGCATGATCAGGGGGCAGCAGGGCAGGCCCTATGAAGAGAGGCTACAGGGCCTGAACCTGTTCATCCTCCACAACAGAAGGCTGAGAGGGGATCTAGTGGCCTGTTACAAACTAGTCAGAGGAGACCAGCAAGCACTGGGGGAGTCCTTGTTTCCCCCAGCACTACCAGGAGTGCCTAGAAATAACGGTCACAAGCTGGCAGAGGGTAAATTCAGATTAGACATCAGGAGGTGCTTTTTCACTGTCAGGGCAGCTGGGATCTGGAACCAATTTCCAAGAGAAGTGGTGCTGGCTCTTACCCTGGGGGTCTTTAAGACAAGGCTAGACAATCACCTTGCTGGGGTTGTTTGACCCCAATACTCTTTCCTGCTATGGCAGGGGGTCGGACTTGATGATCTACTCAGGTCCCTTCTGACCCTACTAACTATGAAACTATGAACTCAAGGCACCCCACTCCATAACTCTCTAGAAAATAGTGGCACCCCATTTAGTGGCACCCAGGTTCCTGGCCCCACAAATTTTAAATCAGGGATCTGTTGCCCAACTACATAGTGTAGGTAGAAGGAGAAAGCTGTGGTCACATGAATGCTGGCTTGAGAAGGCTTTCCTCACTAGTTTCCAGCCCTGAGGGCTTTAAATGCCATGTGTGTGGCCCAGCTGGGTGCACACAGTGATTTGAAGCCTTCAAGGCCTGTAAAAAAGAGCCAGAAAAGCTCTTCCTGGGGTAGCTGTGATAAAGCACCTGCCTACAATTGAATCCCAGGTGTGTTGAGTGGGTGGAGGCTTTGCCAAAGGCTCAGTCCACTCAGCTTCTGGACACCAGGAGTTGAGCAGAGGAAGCAGTACTGACCCCTGTCAGCTTCTTACTCAGGTGTCACTGGAGTGAGAGTCAGGAAAGGGGCTTTGTTCTGCTGGTCCACTAAGCCCAGGAATGGGAACACCTGTCCCGCTCTCTCTCTTGGCATCACTTCTAATGGTGGAAATTTTCTATTGGCAGAAATGGACATTTGTACATGATCTGTTAAACTGCTTGAGAATGGAAACAGAAATTTGCCTGAAATTGTGGTAATAATCATATTTAATACTTCAATATAACAGTGCAGTGGTTAGAGTAGTGGCAGTCCAGAACCTTGAGGTTTTTTTTCCTAGCTTCTCCAGAGCCTCATCATGTAATTCTAACAGCACATGTTTAAATAGTACCTCAAGTACAGTCACCAAATCTGTATTTCATCACTGGCACCTACCTAAATATCCTGAATTTCAGAAACTGTGAATTTCCCATGAAAATGCAAAGTTGGGATTGTTCAGCATTTTACAGAATGGGAAATTAAACTGAGCCTTATGACTTTTCATGAAAAGAAATATTAGAGCATTATTCCTTCAAGAAAAGGATCAACCCCTTGTATTTTAATATAAGGATATAAAGAAAGTATATATAAAACAGTAATTTTTTTCAACTCATTATTGAAATAGAAGCACTGGAATCATTATTGACTTGTAAACATTAATTATACAACTGATTAAATTCCTAACAACTAAATTGTGCATTACTCTGAGACTCTTTTTGAATTATCAAAGCCTCTTTTACATATTAAAGCATCAACATGTAGAATCAGTGGATTCATTCACAATTACTTTGTTACTATTCCTAAAGAATACTGTGATCAGTTACATTTCTAAACATGTGAATTAACTCCAATTCCATTCTTTTTTTGGGGGGGGGGGAGAATCTTATAGAAAAGAGATTATATGAATGTCACTCCAAGTTACAATGCAAAAGTTTAAAGGTGAGCTAGATGGTAATCTCTCCCATTTAATCTCCCAACTATTTTCAAGTCATTTTCATAAATCATCATTTTCTAATACCAGTTTTTTTTTCATTTTAATTGTCATATCATTATTCAAGTAACTTGCTAAAGACACATTTAAAACATCTCTAAAACAATAGAGTCAAAAACAAATCACGTTGTATTTGCTCAATATTCAAATTGAGAGTGATTCCATGAGTTCAAATCATCTTTGTGCAAATGCCTACAGAAGTCCTTTGTTCAAGCTATACAAAAGTCCCAGGAGTCAGAATAGGCAGGCAGATGTAGTCTGAGAAGATTTATGTGTATGTGGCAGGGAACCAGTAGCAGGTAAGAGCAGGGCAGGACGGAAAGCAGGGACCTCCATTCTTTATAGAAAAATCTTATAAAACTTAAAGAAAAATCACAACATAATTTATGAAGCATCCAATAGAATTTGATTTACCTTCTGAAGCATCCAAGTATACCATCCAACTTATATAATCTTCTAGGATGCTACATCTTTTACATATGATTCACTCATGGCATGAATCACCTAAGTAAATGGGAATCTTGCTGAATGCAAGAACTGTAGTTATGATTCAGTCTTTGCAAACTTAAAAGGTGAAGGTTCTTTGTACCTTCTTTGCTATTCTATTCATCTCCTCATAAACAGGCCCATCTTTATGGTAGCTGAGTATATGCAACTCCACGAAGGAGCTAGCTGCAACTTGTACCTATGCAACAAACCTTTCAACTAATCAAAAGCTCCAATCCTGGAAAGTTTTAGTTCAGTTTTTATCAAGTTACATTTTATGAGCAAATTCCTTTTTGTTCTATTTCTCTCACCAAGTACATAGCAACAAAACCCTACAGAAACTAAAGAAGAAATAGCAAGTTTATTATTACAATCTTATAACAGAAAAAAAATCCCTCAAATTTCCTTCAGAGAAAGAACTACAACATTATTTTATTATATTATCACACATATAAAATATTGTGGAGGAGAGGTTTAATTTTAGAGAAGTCAGTGGTTCTCATATTTCTAATAAAACCTTTTGTCTTAACAGTGGAGTGATGATGTGTCTCTGCCACATATTTATGAATTATGGCAGAAAAAGGACAAAATAATCTTACAGTATGCACTCAACCAAAATTATAAACTCCTCCCAAGATAAAGCTTCCCTTAAAATAATAGAATTGCTGGTCCTACTTATCCCAAACACGATTTTTGTGTTATTTTTTAGAATCTACTTATTTATCTTCTAAAGAATGTATTATCCTATTACATGCTTTAAAAATATGCAGCTACAATTACATATGGAAAACAAAATTATTTACATTTATTTAATATTAGAGTGATGTTGTAGCCATAGGGGTCCAGGAGTTATGTGAGAACCAAAGAACTTTTGGGGGTGATATATTTTAGTAGATCAACTGCTTTGTTGGAATAAAGTCAGAAAAGCTTTCCAATTCAAGACATTTTTGTCAAGTTAAATTTATTTATTTATTTAGACTGACTCCTTCTTGGAACATTCATTGAGAATATAACAATTTACCTTCACAAGATGCCACTGAAAGTTGCCATTGTGTGATTATATCATTTAAAATCCATCAAATGTCTTAAATGATTAATAAAAATATTATATGAGCATTCATTTCATATTTACCATTCCAAACACTGAAAATATTAATATTAGTTTGAACAGGTAGTATATGCCTATTGTGTCAGTTAAATGCAAAGCTGAGTTCTGCAAACACCATTCAGCTGGCATCTCACAACAGAGAAAAGACTAGAAGAATAGTAAACCTTGACAAGTAGGTGGAGCTCCATCCATCTGTAGTCTTTCTCCCAATCTACACGTCAGAATCTCATTACCAACCAGTGTAAAGCCTGGTTGACACTGGTACCTTATTATGTCTCCTATTTGAAAAAAAGAAGAGTATTGTTAAAAAAAAACAGTTAGGAGGGATTTTAACTTTGGCAGTACCATTGAAAAATGAAGTACCCTTCCTGCTGTCTATAATGTGTTAAATGACCACCAACTTAATCACTTGATTAGTTGGAAGAAATGTAAATAAGCACTGTGCTGCACATTGAGACCTATTTATCATTGGTTTAAAATATAGTTTTATCCCAATAATTACACTGGGTTTAGTTTTAGCTAATTTCCTAAATAAACCATATGTCTGACAAGTTTTATTTATTTATTGTGTAGTCATCATGGTACTAAATAAAGGTATAATGTCAACAGACTGACCACTGAAATCCTTATTCAGAGAATATATCCAGTTACTTGAAAAAGAGTTTTGCCTCAGTTAAAACTTCAGGGTCAGGTTCAAAATTGGAAAGCTCAAAATAAGAACTGAGTTTGTTATTTCACAAAATTCTTCATATTTTTTTAAATTAGTGATTGAAAAAAAATCAGTCTAACAGTTATAACCATGGTGACTTGAGAGAAATGTTAAAAAAAAAAAAGATTTTAAGTTGCAATTTCCAAGAATGTATGCCCAAAAGAAGAAAACAACAATTTATAATATTTAGAAAAAACTAGCTTGTACATCAGTGGCAAATTTCAATAATGCAAGCAATCCAAGGCTTAAGATAGTTTACAAAACTTTAAAATATATTTTGAAATGTCTTAAGATTGGCATCTACTGTGCAATATTTGAACTATGCAAATAAATATATGGGGGGCGGGGGAATTGATATCAAATACGCTGTTTGGCAAGCTGTTCCTGTGTCAGCTGCACTTCTTGAAACATAACTAGAATTCAGAGAGCAGATATACTGGAGGAAAAATGGCTTCTTCAATATTTTATTTTAAAATCCAAATGGATTTGTGTTTTGTGAAACTATTAATTCATTCCGCTATTTATGCTGGTTCTTAACCAATGCCGAGCTTACTTTAGATAAGTTTAGCATTTCTCCTTGAAATACATTATGATCACACTTTTAACAGACATTACCTATTTCAAATTCATCATCCTCAGTCAAAATTTCAGCATTTGGTATACTTGGTGGAGGCTGACACACTCGAAGCTGGTAAGCTATAAATATAAAGAAGGTACCAAAATGAAGATCCTGCTCAACAGGTAATCAATAAACAACAACCATTTTGTTACATTCTGTGGAACATAATCTAAAAGAAACCATAAACTATGGAGTTCAAAATATGAAGTATGCAAAGATGTAGATATATTTTTCCAAGTTAAAGATTCCTACTATCTTAAACATCCAAATAGTATTAAGAGGAAAATTCTTCTCGTGCATAGTCTGGGAAGAACACAGAGACTAATTCTGTTTGCAAACCAACACTGCAATGGATCCTACATCCCTGCCAGATGTTACAATTAAAATATGATTAACCAGTTAGTCATGTCTTAAGTAGTAACCAAGCCACATATTCATGGAATTAATGTCTCAATCAGTTGAGCAGAAGTCCTGGCATTGGGAGCACAGCAGAACCTTTAGGCTAGGGACAAGATTACACACAAACTGGATTAAGTGATGAGAAACTGGTTTAAATTGTAACAGAACAGATGCTCAGGACACATAAACTAGTTTGAAAATGGCTGAAACCAGTTTGAGATAAACCTGGTTGTATATAGTATCAGATTTAACTGATTTGGGTCAAGACAGTTTTTTCAATGTCTGTCCCAGGCCCCTTCATGGTTTAAATTAAACCAGACTCCACCAGCATCCCAGCATGCTCTCTGAGTTGGGGATGAGGCGGCTCTCTGCTCCACAGTAGAGCTGGCCCCTCCCCTGGCTGCAGCTCCAACAGAGACTGCAGGCATCCTGCTCCCCTCCTCCCCTCATCACTCCCTGCTAAACAGGAATCCCTCCTCCCCTCTGCCTTACACAGACACCTCTGAGCATTAGCTAGCAGACCACATGCTGGCTACAGTCTCTGATGTGGCAAATGGGACAAAGGCAGAATCAACAGGTAGCTGGTAATGTCACTCTGTTGTTTCCTTAATGAACTAATAAGCACTGAGTTAGGGGTGATACACACTGTGTTATCAATTCCCTGCTGGGCTGGTCGGAAGTGAGGGGGAGGTGGAGGAACCACTCCCTAATCAGAGCATCCTGCCAGGACCTGGCCATGTCCCACCTCAGCTCAGCATCTTGAAGTGGAAGGGAGGGCTGCTCTAGCATCTCCCTGGCTTCTAGCCTGAGCCACTGCAGGCATGTGCCTGCATTTTTTCAGCCCAGAGGGGATATCTGTGAGGTTACAAACTGATTCAGCCTAGGCAGGCTAGACTAACCTGCAAAGATTCAATCAATTCAGGCTCAGGTTTTTTGAATGTCTTTCCCTAGCCTTAAGATCTCCTGTGTGCTCCTGTGGCTGGGAGTGCCAGTCAGCTGATTGGCACTATCAGCTGGAAAAGTATGTAGCAACCCATTGCTCTGGTGTGTTCCCATGGCTGAAAGCACCAGTCAACTGATCATCTCTCTGAGACTTGGGAGCATACCAGAGCTCTTCAGACTCCAATGTGCTCCCATGACTGCTAATTAGCAACTGGCACTGCCAGCCGCAGGAGCGCATTGGAGCAAATGGCCTGGATGTGCTGCACCAGTTGGGAGCACTGATCAGTTGACTGGTGCTCTGAGCCACAGGTACACAGGGCACCCTTGCTACTTGTCAGCACAGGTGGACCCTGAAATCACGATCTTGGACACTCCCTGCAATGGCTATAGGGCATGATCTGGATCTGATCTCTGATCCCACAATTGTGCCTCCTGTCATGTATATGTGGTGTAGCAGAACACACGATTGTTGAAATTGTTGACCTGACCCTGTTTTGGTTTTAATTGAATGTCTTTCAAAAGTCCTAGTAGATTTGTTCAATGTTTTGTTTTGTATCTTTACCACAAACTTTTCCTATCCAAAACCAATTTGAAGTAGAAAAATCTTCTATCCAAACACAGAATACCCCAGTAGCATAACTGGGTTGGTTGCGGGGAGGGGAAGAAGGGTGAACCAGGTGAAAAATAAAGCAAGTATCCCAAAAAGTTGTTCTACAAGAAGATTTTTTTTCAATCATTATCATTTGATGCATCAACTACACTCCAAAATAACAATATTTGAAAAAAAATGGCTTAGTCCCTTTCTGCAAGTCACACAATAGAAAATCTGTGGGCCAGATTCTCATCTGATATTAATATGCTTAGCTCCAATGCAATCACTGAAGCCACTCAACTTTACAGCATATATGGATCTGGCTCATCTCTCCATGAAAAAGATTATTTCATACTGTATATTTATACAGCAAAACAGATCAGCAGCAAAACAGAACATTAATTGAGCTAGGTGTTTTGTTCTACTGTAATGCATGCAACAGAAACAACAGCAGCAGCTGCATCAAATATTTAAAAATGTACTAAGCCAACTCTCAGTAAAGTATGCCAGCTCAATTAGGTTGCCCAGGCTGTTGAAATAAGAGACAGTGCTTTACCTGTTCCACCCACCCCTGTCCATCTCCACAAGGAAAGGATGCAGCAGATCTAGGAAGCCTGCTTCATCTCCCATACAGCTTCCAGTTCTATACTTTAGAACTGTAAAGGCATCACACCTTTCAGCCCTTGCACCACTGTGTTCATTCATTCATAATTTGCCCCTTCAACCAGAGAAGCATTGGACCTACTGTGATCAACTAAAGAAGTTACTCACAAAAGGCTTTGTGTTGATGCTAGTTAGTACTTGATATCTACTCTCCACCCTGCTTTTTTGTCTTTTGTACACTGAAGAAGCTGTTAAATCAATACATCACTGACTTATCCTGCCTTAGGATATAATATAAAAGAAAGCACATCTAGGAAACATGGAACAACTCGTCTATTTACAATCCAAAAAATATTGTAAAAATCACCAATTCAATAAAAAAATGGCTTCAAACAGGAATCCATATAATGTATTTCATTAAAAGAGAAATCAGTAATTTAGTCCCAAAGCTATCTATGTTCTACATTTTTTTCTCCATCACTTTTATTGTTTCAAGTTGCCCACACAGGATGTAAAGAATCATGAATCACGGGGCCAAAAAGTATATAGCTTGGTAGACATATAGAGAATTATCCAAAAAAAGACTAGGAATAAGATTCACAAAGGAACTGGGTGCTTAAAATGGGACCCATGTACGTTGGAGTAAACGGTTCACAAAAACTGTCTAACCACTTACAGATTGTCCTTGGGAAAGATAAGCACGCCCTTGGGAACATGGTGCTGAGCACTCTGCATCCCACAAAAATCTGCTGACCTACCCCAGAGACAAAGTTCATCAGTGAGGCTGTTCTGAACTCCCCAATGCCTGTTGTTGAGAGACAACTCTGAGAGCAGACATTGCCAATGAGTCCAGAACAGCCTCACTAGCAAACTTCCATCCGTGCTGCATGTCAGAAGACTTGGGTGGGCAGAGTATGCTCAGGTCTGTCCTCCCACAGACCTGACCTGGCATACACAAAATTCTAGGTATCACAGATTCCCTGGGTGTCTACATTTTTGTCTGAAAACCTACTTACATACCTATGGTTCACCTGCAGCATATGATCAGGTATGTTGCCTCCTTAGGTCAGTGTAGAGCTTAGTACCTATCTCCTATCAAGCTTCTATTGAAATTCATAAATTGGATGTCCGAGCCCCACGTCTCCTGAGGAGGTAGATCTGCTATGGGTGGTCTGAGCATGGCTACCACACTTGAACAGCATTAAGTTTGGTACCCCTGGTTACTTTTATTCACAAATATGGACAGGCATTTGTCGTGATCTTTGTGCAATAGCCTATTAGTTGCAGCAGTCACCCAGAATCTGAAGACTTAGATCACATCAGCCTGAGGAAGTTCAAAGTCACATCACTTGGGAAAACACTAAACAATTAGTCTATAGGCTAGACAAATGGAAACCAACCTTTTTGGAAGGTGTTCCATAAATAAGCCCTGAACCCCTCCCTAGTGCCACACCAATCCTCTTTCAATGCCTGATCTGCTGTTCTGCTTTATGTTCCCTGCCACATCTTCCTATCCTCTTCCCTTTGCCATGCGCCATGCACAAAGGGTACCTGTGCCATGCATGCCACAGGTTGACTATTCCCGGGCTAGACTCTGATGCTATAGAAACACTCTCCCCTAGCAGGGACCAGAACTCTCTCAATAGGGACCTCCCCTTGCTCCCAAGGGCATGCCTATCTTTCATGCTCAAGGCTTGCTTTCTCTGGACCTACGATTCATTGCTAAGCATTAGCTAAGCTTCAGCAGAAGGATTTGAGAGTGCCCCAACATAGCCAGGCATATATCCTGAAAGTTAGGGCAATCTCCTGGAAGTAGAAAACATGGATGTGAACTCCCTCAGTCTGAGAAAAGCATTTAACTCATTGCCTCCCATTTCCTGGATAAGTGCTCTGACCCTTAGGGTATTATAAAAAAAGGTAGTACAATCAGCACCTTCGAAGAATAAGCCAGTTACCTGTATACAATGGGATGACTGAGAGAGAGTTTTTGAGCTGTTCATCCTAGTCTCAACACAGATGCCTTATTCAGGGCTTTAAGTAGGTACCAACATCTGAGAAGAAGCAGAATTTCAGATGCACAACCCCTCTTCCCATTTCTTATTGGCTGGTTTAAGCATTCCTCCATTATGTATGCTGAGTTTTGTGAATCTTAGTCCTAGACAGCTAACTTTCAGAAGTGCAAGGAAGTTTGGGCTGGGAATTCTGCTCCTGGATACATAAGTCCCTTGTTAAGCCTCAAGCTAGTCACTTAAATCCAAACTTGTGACCTTGAAAAATCCTGTTGATCTAGTGCCTAACTCTAGAGGAGCCTCCGTTCCAGAGGCATCTTAGTTTTTTACATTGGTTAGCCCTATTTCTAAAGTTCTGTTTCTGGACTCAATGTTGACAGAATTGAGTACAATATATTACTAGTTTAAAATAGTCTAATAGGTCTAGTAATAGTCATTAGTCATATCTCATTTTAGTTTTAATATTTTATTTTAGTAATAGTAAGCTAAAACATCTTCTCTGTGAGCTTTGATTAGACAAGAATTAGTAAAGATAGATGTGTGTTATACTTACCATGATAACTAAGTACAAAGAAACCACTTGTTGTGAAATCGCTGTGGAACTTGATTAGAATCTGATTCGATGTGCTGTAGACTGATTCCAAAGCGGTGTTGCCACTAAACTGTCCAATCTGAGGAGATGTTTGGTCTGGCCCATCCCTAACAGAAAAAGATATCAAAATAAATCCAATATTAAGAGTAGTGTTAGGAAAATGTACAGGGCTCAGAAAGAGGTAGATAATTTTGGTAGATAGGTCATTTTTACTCATTCAGAATTTGTCTATTTAAAAAAATGCATATTCAATGTCGAAAAGTTTTCTAAAATTGACTATGCTAAAGTTGTAGATTGACTCTACACACAAAGAAATTAAACAGAATTTTCAAAGGTTTGGTATTCTCCTTTGAAAAAGAAGAAAGTTGTGAATTGGATGATGAGCTGGAAAATGCTTCATGAAAGGATATACATTGTGGTGGTTCATGATTTCCCTGGGCACAAGTTTTCCACCTATTACCCTTCTGAATGAACATTCTACATTTTCTCTGCAGACTACATTTTATTCAATAAGTGGATTTGGAGGTGTGCCTCCCCCTATCTTACCTCTTTTGAATATCCAAGCTTACAGATAAAGACCTTAAGCATACATAAACTATATCTAAAGTTTCTTCTCTCTTCTGCCTCTACCTTCCCCCATTCTACCAGTATTACCTCACATTTTCTAGTAATTAAGGCATATACAGATGGGATAAATAATGGACAGCATATAGTATTTATCGAGGCTAAGTATAAAATCCTGGCCACACTGAAGTTGATGGCAAAACACCTATTAATATAATTGGGAACAAGATTTCATCTTAAGTCTGTATGGCTGTAGATCTATGCCAGTAGATTTTGTTTACTCAGTCGATGCCATTTTTAAAGCAATGTCAGATGACAGATTTCACATTCCAGTATCTGCTTTGTGGGCAGAATTACATGCTAAGATGCAATTTTCTACAGATAATGTTTACTGTAGGTATAACATTATAGGCCATTTAACAATGTGGTTTTTAATATTCTGAAAGATTCTTAAACAACTCCATACTGTGCACAATGTCACATCAAGTTTTATATCAGTAGCTGTGTCTTGTTGGCTCAGTAAATCATTTATGTAAATACCTTCCTTTAAAAGTGTTTTCTTGTTTCTCCATAGTTGTAATTTTGGGTAAATTGGTTCATTTAAAAGAAAGTGCTTAGCAGTAAAGAAATACAATTGATTCTGGCTCATGCACAATTTTATGTAGCGCTTATATTTTCTTCAAAAATCTTAAACATAAAGAAGGTACTTAAAGAATCTCGTCTTTTGTGTGCTGGTAAAAATACAGAAACCCATGTGTCTTGGTTTTTGACTAGCTAAGCAATTTATCTGAAAATAGACAGGCTAGCAGAAGCCAAAAAATTATTGGATAAATTGAATCATAGATACTAGAGATGGGAAAAACCTGGCAGGTCATCTAAGTTAACCTTTGCAATATGTAGGTTTGTTCATAATGACTATTCATGAGTGCTTTGTTTAACCTTACTCTGAGTATCTTCAGTGATGAATCTCCCATAACTGACCTCAGGAGACTATTTCATATTGTAACTCTATTCTACATTCCAATTATATTACCATGCCTTCATTCCTTCAAGCTATATGCATTCAATCTTTCCTGATATGATGATTTCTTGCATTTATCAATAACAATATTTTATACCAATATGCTTAAAGCTAGAGCACACAGTACTGACAATTTACTTCCCTGCCTAGTCCTTGAACAGATACTCAGCACAAGAGTATGGAAATTCTGCTTCATAGAGAATTTAGAGGGTTTGAAATTTGGCTTTATTCCAAGCCAGAAGGGGACCCCCAACATTTCTAAACTATGCACACACACACAAAAATCCAATTGGCCAAAGCAGTTTTCTTTATAAAATGTCATATTATAATATGTAATATATAATACAATGAAAAATATTTTTTAAAGTAATTTCAACTGCAAAGGTTGAAACTGGGCATTTTGATACAGGTGGAATTCTTTTCCAGATGTTTTTGGTGAAACTGATATTTTATGAACCATTTTACTTTTGATGGAACTGTATTTTCAGTAAAATATGATTCTGCCAATTTTGTTCTAAGATCTTGGATTTCATATGAAAGTGCCTAAGGGATACTCCAGTACCAGTAACCAGAAGATTATTTAGTGTATGTGTCCTTGTGTTGTGTTTCAGATATTCGAGAGCACTAGGACCCATTCTGTTCAGTTCAGGAACTAGATTTATAGTTTAATGATTCAACTATAATTATCTCTTGATCAACTCTTATATATTACTAAAACCAAGGTTAAGAATACATTTTCCTTTCATGTGTTTAAAAAGCATCCAACCCCCATCACCTCCAAACTCAAAATTGTATGCGAAGCCAAAGAATCACTTCCTAAAACTATTCCTAATGTGACACTGGAACACATAATATTTGTACACAGCTGAAACTGGCTGTTATCATATTCTATTTTGTTTTGGGTTTTTTCCCTAAATATAGTAGCCTCCGATATCAGTCAATATTTGTATTCATTGTTTCCTTGATCAGAAGGCTGATTTCTTGATTTAGTGAGACTCTGGAGTTCTCATAAGGTTAGGTAATAAAGCAACTGGCCACAACATTTACTTTATGTGGAGATAGTTACTGGAATATTATTCAATATATACTATAAATAATAACTCCCAATAGATAAATTATCAAACTACTAGGTCTGATCCTTCACCAGGGAAGCCAAAGAGTATGTTACCATTGATTTTACTGGGAACAAGATTCCCTGATTTTTTAATCCATAAAATATATTTTATTATCGTTGAATTACTTCATGAGGCAAAATATAAGCCAATATTACAATTACTCTAGTCTTACAAATTACGCACTTATGGTCACCAGAAGGAACACAGACATTAAGCAGAAATCCATGACAAATCAGTAAGGTGTTATTTTTAATTTCTGGTTTGTTACATAGTGTCATATGTAGAATAAATCGATGATAAAAGCGCCTGCTTACCAGACAGTTATGAAATCATATATTGGCTCTGTTTGAAGAACTGTGAAATTGATGTAGATTCCATTCCCAGGTGGAACTCTTACAAGCCAAAAGCAGTCTTGAAAGTTGGGATATTCATCAGGGTACCCGGGAGAGTATATGGTGCCGTTCATTGCAGTTATGTTTCCACCACAGAGAGCTACAAAAGAAGCATTTTTTTTGTTTAACTGCAGAAGCATCCAATACCTTTGGTATTCTTTTTTACATAGTGAGTGCTGTTAAATCTGTACTTGCAAAACACCTTCAGCATGCCTATACTTTAATTCGACTGTGAAAAATTGAAGTAGTAAAGCTGTAAACAGAACACAAAAAGTACTGAGCTTTTTAAAAAGCATAAGGAGGCTCAATCCTGAATTCTACAGTCAAATCTACCAGTAATCCTGGTAATTATCAACTATTCTGACTGAGTAAAGACTTCAGGTTTGGGCTTTCAATCTATTTTGACAATGGACTAAATTCAGGCTTGTCTTGTACAGGAGTACAAGGTAAAGGAGGACAGGACAATTGATTTTTTTGTGACCCTAGGTAAAGCCAGACACAAACTGGTTTGACAGTACAGGAACTCCTGCCTCTGTTACTCATAAGGCATCTGTGAGAGATGAAGGACAGGCACAGGTGGCTTGGGCGTGTGTGTGTATTCACAAACCACTTTCTCCACAGAAGAAGGATGGGTACAAAATATCCAATGTGCCATTGCTTGAAAAGTAGCTGTGTGTTCCTTAGGAGTAAACTTACAAAAGGCCTCCAAAGTAGGTGTGACTTGACATGGTGGAATATGGATGAAGATGCACTTCTACACTGGATGTGAATATACTTGCTATGGCCTATACCTATCTACCTTGGCTGTTTCGTATGTGCAGGTGTACAAAGTTATTAATTGATTCTCTGTAGTCTTAGCAATTGACACATGGCATTTGTGCTGCTTTTAGACTTTCTGTGTCCACATAAAGATGCAAAGGCTTTGAGGCTATGCCTTTAACTATACAAAGCAGAAACACAACAACTGAGATTTCTGAAAGGCTTTATCAGAACCATGTATTTTAAAAAAATCAGCATTCTAAAAAAATTAAAATTAATTCAATTTCCACTTCAGGACAGGAAATAAAGTAATAAAACATTAGTGTTTAGTGAAATCTGATTCAGATTGTTTGCTTTAAAGATAGTAGAGCTCTTTGAGAAACCTTAATTTTAGAGTATTTTAAGACAAATATATTTAAGGAAATATAAAATTAAAAAATGTTCGCTCTGAGGTTAGACAGACACAAAAAATAAATGTTATTTCTATGCTTTGGAGAACAAAAAGTTATTCTCAATTAAAACAAAGGCAGGTAAAAATATCTGATTATCAACACACGTCTTCAACAGAAATACCATGGTAAGTGAAATGTAAGTTGAACTGCAAATATGTTGTTGGCCTAGAATACTTAAGTTTAACTATCCTGCTTTTCACAATTCAGAGTTTTTAGCTATAGATCAGAGCAGGAAGGGCTTTGATCCTGCATCATATACATCCAAGGCCTTCATCCCCAGTACAGGCTCTCTATCATTCCTTCTGATGAGCTTTCAAGGAAAGTGTTAATACTTGCATGTCATGTGTCAACTTCAAAATGAAAGATTTCTGAACAGCTTTACAGAGAAAACATTTCTGTTCTAAAAATGCAGGCCTTCAAATTCAGCTGATAGACAGTCTCCAATAACTGTCTCCAGAATCCATCATAAACAGGCCTTTTCAGGCCAGCTATTAGATACAAGAATAAATGTAAGAAAAAAAACATAGAGGTCTGATTTGGCCTAAAAAGGTTGGGATATATGGAGGTGGTATACATACCTTTACTCAATACATACCTTCACACCTAGGGAGAGGGTGGTTCCAGTTACGACTGATTCCATGTAGACAAGTTAGTGCTGAATTTCCAATCAAGGTGTATCCAGGCAAGCATTCAAATGAAACAGTTTGTCCTACAGTAAAGTCATTCCCAATCACAAAACCATTTCGAAATGGCCGGGGGTCAGGACAACTTTGCAACTGGTAAGCTGAAAGAAATAATAATAATTTTAAAGAGTTCTAGACTGGGCTATCAGTTGTGATCCATATCTCAGTGGTTTAGGTTAGAAGCTTTAAAATTTGGAGAGAAAAAAAGGAAGTTTCACAATGTTCCATCTTTTCTCTCAAATGCCACCAAATGAAGGAGAACCTTACAGTGTGAGTATCTTCATGTATATAATTGGCTTGTGAAATGAGAGACCCAGGTTGAAGGTCTTATTTTTTATTGATTAACAGCAAAGATTTCATCCTAGTTTATTCTGAGGCAGGCATCAGAGGAACTTGACCCTGTCTCTCTCACATCCTAGGCAAGTAGTTGAAACATGCAGCTATGGAGTCTCTCTCAGTCTTGCTGATGAGGTCTTATAGCATGTATTTTTACCTTTAGGTATCTGCCCTTTAGCAGTACTGTCTATGAGAAATGCAATGGAAATCAAAGACTTTTTAGCCTATCTTGTGGAAATGGGGAGCAATACTGCAGTAGAAACTCCATTTGATACCATTTAGAAACCCTGGATTCATATGGGAGGTATGTCCATTACTGTACCCTTAGCAGGTTTCAGCATTCTCTCTCTTTTGCTGGCATGTACTAAAAAGCATAGATCTGGAAGGTGTCTGTTGGGGCACTGATAGAAACATCCTTTGTACTTTAGGAAGCACCAGGACTGACTTTTGAATGGCTCAGGTTTAGGTGGAGAAGAGAATGGGCTTCTTGTGTCATCTCCTGATGACACTATGCAAAGATAAGTTAATACGTCCAGGTAGCCTACTCTGTTGCTAGTAACTGCTGATCAATGCATTATGGATATAGAAAGGAAAAAAATCTACCACTAAACCTATTTATTTTAAATTTTTATTGATTTTTTTCTGAAAATAATTAAAAGTATAAAAGGTCCCAACATGTAGACGGAGAATCAAATATTTCATAGTTAAAATCTAGAACTTGGAAGCACCAGACTCTTTCACAAGTTCAAGTAGGTTTGTCCAAGAAAATTTTAAGAATATGTATGTGTGTTAGGTAATATGTTGATGACAACACACACACCACACACACACACATACTATAATATATGTAGTGAGCACATATATATGTGTGTGTGTGTGTATGTGTACAATATATAGTGTATGTATACACCTTGATGATAAAAGCACTGCGCGTGTGTGTGTGTGTGTGTGTGTGTGTGTGTGTGTGTGTGTGTGTGTGTGTGTGTGTGTGTGTGTGTGT